TTGGCCACCTGGGCACACTGCTGGCTCACGTTCAGCTGGCTTTCAACCGGGACCCCAAGGTCCTTTTCAGCCAGGCAGCTTTCCAGCCACTCTTCCCCAAGCCTGTAGCGTTGCATGGGGTTGTTGTGACCGAAGTGCAGGACCCGGCACTTGGCCTTGTTGAACCTCATACAGTTGGCCCCAGCCCATCGGTCCAGCCTGTCCAGATCTGTCGAGCAGATCAACACTCCCACAAGAAAAATGTCTCAGTGACATTAAGATGGTTGCTTTTTACTACACTTACTATAATGTACTGTTCCCTCCCACTCCCTCATACTTTTTCTCATTTCTTATACAATGGACTTAGAGATCAGTCAGAAGGTACAGCTTGTAGAGCTCAAGCTGTGAAATTCAAACTTTAGTGAGCCAGAGACCATTATCTATAGACACAAGATTCTATGAGGCATTCTTGGGCTCAGCATGTGCTGTACTATCTGGCTCACATACAGTGAGATGCATAAAATGATGCATCTGCATGCTTATGTGCAATGATTTTTTCTAGTCTGTGTTTCTTTAGTGCTACAGAATTTCAGGAAATAAATATAAGAACATTGGATAACTATGGCTCAAGTGGCAAATGTCACAGACTGGAGCAGCATACATGAGGTCACATTCAGTCTGGTATGAAGTATACACTGCAGAAGTCGCTGAGGTCAAAAAAGAAATTTAATTCCTTCAGCTAGGACTGGATTTTTTAGTCCACAGTTCTATACTCCAGTATGGAAAGATGAAACAGAAGCATCACCTTTTCTTCAGAGCAATATTTGGTGATACTTTTTTTCCCAGAACTCACTAAAATAGTACACATAAAAATAATTTCTTCTCTAGTTAGTTAATTTGACACAATTGGAACTACTTTATATATGAAGCTGTAAAATAAAAACTCGAAAGCTGATGAGCTTGGCATGACCAAAATGTAGGTGGGAAACGGCAAAGACAGTACAAACAGAGCACTGGGCGAATATGTCCGCTTGGCAGACAAAATGATCCACACTTCACAGTCTACATCCACTAACAACGTTCATGGGAGCAAATAAACACAGAGTTTACCATCATATCGGCTGGGAGAATCACATGCTTTCTGAGGGGTTGCCACTCGCAGGAATATCTGTTGCCTCCATGAATGCCGTCGAGTCCTTACAGGGCTGTCCGCACCAATGGCCTGCTGGCTGTGTTTGGATTCGTAGTCGCTAAAATTGCGGAACACAGAATGGCTTGTGAGTAGGTTACCTGAATCTGCTAGTAACAGTGACACAGTCTTCAGTGAATACAGTAACACACACCATCAACTAAGGAGTGCAGCGTGCTGTGCACATGCTGCATCAAGCTCTTAGTGTTAGGTAGGTGAAGCTTGCTTTGTGGCAGCAGACTTATACAAGGCTGCAAACATCACTTAGGTTCACCAGAAGTGGCTGGCAACTCTGTGCAAACTGCTTTCTCCAGTTTCAATTAATTTTCAGCTTTCTTTGCAGCAGTGTATTAAACACAACACATTAAAGACACATACACCATAATATATCTTTACCATTCTGCTATTTAAATGCCATCCACAAAATCTAGCAATTATTCACTGGAGACACAAAGAACTGCTGATACCTTTGATCAGCACACATCAAGGAGCTTTATAAACACCAACTAAACTTCCAACCTTCTGTGAACTGGCTATGTAATATTCCTTCACAACACAGACTTGGAGCAAAACTTTTAACTTTTGTGTTCGCAAGTCACCATCTGAAATAAGCAACGAACTTGGGAACAGTGTCCAGAAACCTTGGATGTTACTCCTTCGACCTAACGCACAAACTACCTACAGAGGTTTTTTATTCAGAATATTAAATGAAATAGTGAACAGCAATGCTGTTTTCCTACTAAAAATCCCACTAATAACTTCACCCATTACATCTTTAAGATATTCACTGCTTTATTCCAGCCACTGGCTAAATGGTTGCATGAGTCTTTGTTGAAGCTGAAAGGGATAAATCAGCTTCAAATAGCTCTGGCAGCAACTGGGAGGAGCATTTTACAGGCCACCCTCTCCCTCTAATTTGAGGACACTGACATTGCTTAGGATGAACCATGTATATTCTCTTAACTGAAAACAGCTAATAGATTCCTTTGGCAGGAATAAGCACAGAAGTACATAGATGGAAGTTGCGTGACCATTACAACATCAAAATCGCTAAGTTCTGCAATCTTAACGGGAGAGGAGTCTGGGATAGCTCCATCCTTTTGACAGCAATCACATGCAGAATACATGCAAGTGAACTGTTGCAAAAATCAGGTTTTGCAAGCGTGAGAAGCATTTGAAATATTTCAGACAAAGAAACCTTTGAAAATACAGTTTTACCTCCAGGCCTTAAGAGAAAACCCTACCTTGTTGTGCTCCTAAAGTCAGAGGTGTTATTTTCATCTACAGGAGCCAGAAATTTTAAGAAATTTGGCACAGAAGAGGAAGAATGAAGCTTTTTCCTTAAGGCAGTACGGTAGGAGATGCTGAGAGTGCAGTTGGGAAAAGTATAGTTTAGAACAAAGAAGTATAAATCCACAGAATAAAAATAATACATACTACTAAGTTTCAAACAAAAAACAGCTAAATCCTGAACGCCTGAATATCAAGGAAACCAAAGTCAAAACTGAAACTGCTAACAAAGTTCTACTTTGAAATACGTATTTGTTTGGGCACACCAAAATGTTCCAATATAAATAAATGTACTTCCAGTAAAGTTATTATTCTTTGCTATATCCCAAGATTTTTAGTGCATGTTTCAAGTCAATTCCTTTAATCTAATAAGAACTGATGCCAACTTTATCATTGAACATTTACTTAATTCTCAGTTTCGATGACTAAGTTTGGGGCAAAAGGTTAGGAAAAGCTGACACTAATAATCATTGTGCTGGCAAATGAAAAAATAAGACTTTGGCAAAAAAACATTTTTTAAAGTATTAACAGGGTTTTATTCAGACAAGCTTGGAACTTTGAAGTTAAAAGCTGAGCCTTCTGACTGATTGTTTAGGATTGTGGACCTACTTATGCAACAGACAGCAGCACTAATCAAATTTCATCAACAGTCTTCTGGCCAACATAATTCTGCTCTTTCTTTTAAAATAACAAGCCCCCAACATACTCAGAAGAAGGTTAATAGAAGGAAGTGAGAACAACTCAGACAACAAAATGTTTCTGCATGGAATGAAAAAATAGAAAATTACTTGGCTAATGATACCGGAAGACTTTTTTCTCAGAAGAGTACACAAAAAACATCTGAGTAGGAAAATTTACTCCTGAAGAACTAAGTTTAAGAGAGAACTGCTTCTGATAAATCATAATGATATACCTGGATGACATTTAGCACTGTCTCCTCAAGATGTGAATGGGATGGGGGGATACTCTGGGATAATCACTAGTATGAAGTGAAGCTGTTCTTTAGTAGCTGGTAGTGAGCATGAAGAAGATAACGCTGTAGCATGGTGTGCCCTGCGAACAGGTTTCACTTACAATTGCATTGTAAATCCATCACAATTACACAGTAATTTCACTTACAGAGTACAATCAGCTTGGGCAGTTTGATTTTATTGATTTAAGCTCATTAACCCATTTGATATCCTTATCAATTCTCATTTGCAGTCTTGTTGCTTAGAGGTTGAATATGGTATACCCTTAAATGACAGAGAAAGGGAAGGAGAAGTTGCTACTGTGCATGCAGAATCATTATCAAGTCTACTTGGAAAAATCTGCTTTTGAGAATTTAACATTCAAGATTCAAGTAAGTCTTATCAAAATGAAGAGTAAAGAGGACATTGTAGACTCACATTTCCTCCCCTGAGCTATACCATACTTCTGAGGTGAAGCTAGATTAAGAGAGAAGCTAGTTAGTACTCAGCAAATACAACTGAAGGAACTGGTGAAACAAGGTTCTTGGTTGAGTATTTTCTCAGGATCAGAAAAATCAGCACCTTAGGGAAACAGGAAACCTTCACCAAAGAGAACAAAACCAAACAATAAAGAGCAACAGCAATAAAAATTGCTGGCCAATGGCCAGTGACTGTTGACAGTGTTTCCAAGGACATTTAGTTTCATTAGCCTTTTGAGCTAAAATAAGCAGTTTTAGTTCCAGGGGTTAAGAAGGTGTTTCATAGTTAAGATTTTTAGGGAGCTATTTGTTTCAGGTTCTCAGGGAAATGATGGGTTAATGTCCTTTTCTCAATGTTCTCTATATGTATTTTTGTTCTAAGAAAGGAGGCACAGAAAAGTATCATTTTATATTGCTCAAAGTAACCAAGGCAAATAGATGAGCCTGGGGGGTTGGGGTTTTTTGTTTGTTTGTTTGTTTGTTCTTGGGTTTTGGGGTGGGGTTGTTTGTGGTTTTGGGTTGTTTGTGTGGTTTTTTGTATCGGTTCTCCATAGTCCTGCTACTTCTTGCCCCATTTAGTTAACTTAGTCAATTTGCCTTTATTGTCAGGCACAAAAGAATATTAATGTTTATGTGTTAACATGAACAAAGCAGAACAGAACTGAATGATTCAGGAAGGACAGAGTGAGCTGGGTCACAGGTTCTTGGCAACTTATCCCTTACAAAATTTAAGCAGTGCTGCTGTCTGCTGCATAACAACAAGTTGCTTTGGAGCAACTGGCTCTAAAGAAAGTCACGTGTCCATGTGTCTGAAAGAATTTTATTTATTAAAACAAAAAATTATGCAAGTAGCAGCTCTACAGTCAGTAGTAGAGCAGTTAAAGAGTTCCCTCTCCCATAAAAATCTATCACCTTTGGTCTATATTAAATTGTTTTAATTAAATATACTATAGAGCTTCATATTTATGACATGGTAAAACAAACCCTACCCCAAACTATGTACAGGTGCTAGCTCACCTCTTTTGTGCAAAATGCCCACTTTGTTCTCCACTTGAATTATGCCTTAGATATTTAAAAAAGTTGGGTGAAGAGGCCGAGGGATTAAGACGAGCTAGAGTAGGAGAACGCGCAAGTTGACCAGGAGAACTTTTAGATGCGCCGACAGATGCATTCAAACTGTATAGTGGGATTCCAACCAGAGCGATGGAGTTGAGGTAGCACAAAGAACAAAACACAGTAAGAGAGGAGGGGCAGGGGGGGACTGAAATACCTTCTCTAATCTTTGAAAGGGACCTGGCATATAAAAATAAGCCATTTCCTATGTTTTCCACAGTTAATACAGTAACCGTAGGAGGCTGAACATTTTATCCCAACCAGCAAAGTCCCAAATACACACTTACAGGCTTCAGCAAGGCATTTCAGCATATGACTAAATTTAAACTCCCAAAAAACTGTCAATGATACACCCCTTTCTACTGCCTCATATGTGCTTCCCCTTGTTTTCTATGATAAAGTCAGGCATATGATCAAGAATTCTAATGGATGAGAAGTGAAATGCTACATGAAGAACTGAATTTATTTACACTTTGGAAACAATTAATGAATTGAGGTAAGCTGTTCAAAAACACTCATAAAACATGCGAGACTTGTTACAAGTCTATCATTCCAGTGATTTTTGAGAACTTTAAGTATACTCTTCTTCTAAGTTTTCCATTTCCCCTAGTTCTGTACATTTGCTATGAAAGGGAAGCAACAGTGATTTCTCTTTGGTTTGAGTTATGTGAGGGAGCAGGCACACACAGGTCTTACTAAAAATCGCATTATCAAACCCAAATAGAAAAAAACAAGGAAATGAAAAAGATACTTAATTTCTAGCTGCATTCCTATAGTAAGATAGGAACTGATTGAACAAGCAGCTACAAGCATCAGGCAACTCTCGTGAAGGTAACAGACCAACACCACAAGTCCTAAACTGCCCTACAAAAACATTCTAGTATTTTAGAATTGAAAAGGTTCAAAGAAGGGACAAAAAGGCAACCCAGGTTATGTTTCCTTTCAAATATTATAATTATTTTTTTCTCCCACTGTGATCACCTATTTCAGGCATGTTCATTTACTGCCCTGCCTCCTGCAGGGAAAACTGAGCTGGAACAGATACAGATTTCCTACTGTCTAACTTGTGTAAACGAGCAGTTTTGGCAGTAACACAGAAGCCTACAGACAGAAATGTTTCCATAGTAATTGGATGAAGCCAGAAAAAAACCTGCCATAAAGTTAAGAGGAGACTTTAGAGACACAGAGGCAGGCTTTTGAAGGAGGATAGCTTGAAGAATATTAGCATGAAGGCAAGCAGTAGCTTGTTTTTGCAAGTAAAAGCTACATAGGCTCATTGAAAAGATAGACAGGAGCCTCATCTCTATCAATGATTAGGCAATTTACATCAGTTTTTTTTGAAGTCACACATGAATTCACCAACTAGCAAGGTTTTCAGCATCACAAATACTAGCAGATTTTTCTCTATAAACAGACAACAAGAAGTAGCATTTATTTATACTGCTCGCAGATCAAAACAACAAAAATAACTGAATATTGCTTGCAAAAATATAACTGAACCCCTTAGGAGCAATCCTATGTTGTGCTTACACTTACTTTTATGACGTATACTGTGGAACTACGCATCTCACGTTTTCTCTCCCCCGTGGAGCACACAGGGCTAAAAGTGTTTTTAAACAGGATACCTACAAACCTCCAGTGACACACTGCTGTGATACATTTCTATCCATTAAGAGGATATACCTGGTACACAATTATCACCCCCAAATATGCCCTCAACTACCGAAATCAGAGCCTGCTTTTAATAAGTCTTACTTTCTTTTGTGAGGAGTCTCTGTGCTCACTGAGTGATACCTCATAAGTTTCCTCTGGGGAACAGATGGTGATGTTTCAACAGGTACCAGAGATTCCTGGCTTTCTGTTGGGAAATGACTCAGTGTGTTTGCTCGCCTCCGAAAGCTTTGCTGAGGTAATGTAACAGACTGCTCAATAGGAGAATCATCTGCATCACTGGAGAGATCACCCACTGATCCACTGGTCTTGACAGCATTTTCTGTAGGAAGCGTAGGAAGTCTGTCTTTCTCCTTTTCACACAATGGTGGTTCCTAGCGGTGCAAAAAATAAGGTTATCAATACGTGGGTTTAAAATCAGTCTTTGAGGTTGCAGCTCCACATCATTATTCACATCTTACAGAGACCTGCTTCAAACTTGCACATTTTTATCATGATAGCTCAAAGAAAGAATCTTTGATGTTTTATGTCTTTGCTATTAATCATTTAGGTCAACAAATCACAGCCTCCATTTTTCAGAGAAAAAGTAATTTTGAGAGTAATTGTATTTTACAATACGTTGAGTACAAGTCAGAAGAAATGGGGTCAGAAAAGAGCAGATGGGTCAGGTTTGGGTAACAGTGACAGCAATGAAAAGGGTGGCATTTCAGAGCGCTGTATATTTAGCACCCCGTCTAACAACATAATATTCCTCTTGTCTACCTGAAGATTCACACAAAGGACATCTATGATTAGATGCCTGTTTCTGTCCAAACCCATGCATTTTCCTTCATTCCCCACCTCATGTGTTTCCTGCAGACTCAGCCATTCTTTCAAAAACATAAGCAGAAAGAGCAGACTCTTGATTGCCTGAAGTCAGGAGTCCGTAGGTGACTAGGCGCTAGAGCAGAATCAATAGCTGTATCCAAGGCTGCAGAGTGCTAGGCTGCCTCAGGGAAGAAGACTGGCAGCTTCTGTGCTGTTTGTTTATTGTTTTATTCAGACTAAAAGCTTTCTAACCACACAAAGGGGGAAATTACTCCACTTCTTGTTTCTATGTTTCTTATGAATGCAATCCTGCATTCATGGTGTGTACTTTCAGGGCTGAAACCAACCAGATTAGGATCAGCAGCATGGTAATTACTGTGTTTGTTTTGCTGCACATTGTTGCAAGATTCAGATGATGTTATATAATATTTTGTTTCACATATATAGACTCACACCATAAGATACATACATAGAAAATACATGTTTATATACAGTACGAGGCATTTCTAATTCAAATGGAGCCCCAATTGCACTGCTCATTTTTTATAGCACAGGGAACAGAATGAAAGGCCTGAAAACAACTAGAAACTTCTGGAGAACAGAAACACAGATTTACTCTGAGTCCCACCTTGTCAAAAAGTATGGAAATCTCCAGTGAAACTCTACAGATAACAGCATCTTACACATCACCATTGTATTGACATGTGACTGCTATTTCTTAGCATGAATCTCTGTTACCAGAGTAAACTGGGAAATTACTTTGTTCAAGTCCCTCAGAGGACTCACACACATTCTAACATGTTACATATATGAAAAATGATTTGGGTAACCAACTTGCAAATTCTGAAAAACTTAAATATTGCTTCAAGAGGCGGGGTGAAGGAAAGGCAGTGACTAATCCAAGAGGCTGCATGCAATGAATGCAGCACCGTCACCCTCAGAGGGATTCGGCACAGGAATAAAGACACGCCCTGTGGATCAGCAAGTGGCAGCAGGTCTCTTACAGGTAGGAAGAAAAGGGCATACCTACCCCCCCACCATCACTACGTGATACTGTTTTTATCATACTGTTGGGCTGTTCTGGGCCTTATTTCTTTTCACACACAATCAGTTAGCTTGTCTACTCCCAAAAAGTAATCAAAACGAAATGCCAGATGTTAGAACAGAACAGTTACATGAGCATTTGGTAACCACATTTCACATCTGACTAGTTGTTTCAGGGAATAACCTGAAGTTTCTAAATATGTACATTCACCCCAGGCTTTACTTACTTTACTTGTGCTGCTTAAGGTACTCGACATGGAGCTGTCCAAATCCACAGCACCAGAACTGTCCAGTGGACCTCTGGCTTTACTGCCCTGCAGAGATAAAGCACACCAGCATTAGAGACTATAATATATGTGGCATGCCAAAAAGAGATTTGTGTAGCATAGTCAGAATCTGTAATTTTCAAAGACAGTATCAAATTTAATTTCCTGAAATGCCTAAGAATAGCCTTTGCCCCAGTGAGAAACAGAGGCTTCATTCAGGACAGTCACTGACATTTTAAAGGATCCTGTGGAATTAAGGAATTCTCATGGGCAATGGTGTGCTTACCATGATAGGTACATAATCACATACTGCACGCATGTACTATAACTATTGTTAAAGTACCTTCTGTATTCCAAACAGGCAATTTTCACACTAGGTACTTCTTATGAAGACACAAAGAAATGAAAAGGCCGTCTATTACAATGGACTTAAAACCATATAAATTTAATACACAGCAAAACATAATTTCTGGTATTATCATTTCAATGCCAACAAATCAGAAAGCACAAATATTTTTGTATAATCTGTTCAACAATATTTTTGTATAATTTGTTCGACTAATGTTTTTCTGTAACCAAGAGAAATATCAAGAAAAGTACTGATGGATTCTTATGTGCTAACACAACTATGGAAATTGTACCTTCCTAAGCTTAAATGGTATCATTTTTTTTATGTTCTGAAGTTAAGGCTTATGTTCTCTTTGAACTGTTATTCCAAGTAAAATATAAAATGTTATCGTTACTCACAATAGTGACTATTCTCTCCTTTACACTCAGACAGAATGTTTTGCCTCAGGTCTGATCAAAATCAAGAATTTCTATCAAAACAGCCATGACAGTAAAACCGTAACGAATATACAGCTGTGCTTACGTGAAGACAGCTTATGCCAGTCAGGACAAACTGGCAAAAATTAGAACAGTCACTACCATAGTTAGTGTAACAGCACTAACATTGTTTCACATCCCGAACACACCCAAAGCAGGATTTTATGGGGGTGAACTCTAGAAATGCTGGCTGGGAAGTAAGGAGGGGAGATACTCAACTAAAAATCCTCTCTATATGCATAATTATAATAGGGAGAACATGCTTTTGCCATCATTTGTTTCATGGAACAGGTTAGATATGATGTCCGAAATAAGCTTTTAAAGACTAGTTTTGCCACTATGAGTTGCATGACTATGAGCCAATAAACTGTACTAGATCTTGCTTCAGTTTAACTGTTTGCTGATGAGAAATGAGAATGCCCATTTTTTGTTCCTCAATATTTGTTGTGTGGCACTCTGTCACAAAGCTCTTTTTTTTTAAAAAAAAAAAGGGAGAAGCTCTGATTTTTTTTTAATCCTTTGTCAAAAAGAAGTCTTTCCAAGTCTTCTATTATTATCCTCAGACTTTTTCCATGAGGTGCAAAACAAAGAATATTTGAATGAGAAGACACTCCGTAGGTTTAAGTAGTGCTTAAACTTGACATCTGATTTGTTTTCTTAACCGCTACTATATGCTTTCAGCAGATATTTTCAACCATCTGTTCACAACAAACATTTTCCCAACATGTTTTCTTAAGGATCACTATCACATAGGAGCTCAAGTTTTTCTAACTAATGGGTGTTGCCAGACACTGTTTACAAAGAATTTCACCTGCGATATTGCATAAATGCCTTCATATTCTTAGTGCCTTCTGAAGTTCTTTACACTCCTCGCCTTCAAATAATCTCTAGCATTTAGAAGTTCAGATGCCCCGTTATTCATCAGTTCTGTGTCACCAATAAATACTATCTCATTATGAATGCTTAGTCAGTTCCCTAATCATTTCCTTCTACATAAAAAGAAGTGAATAATTATAATTACTTTTAAATTTTCTAAATCTGAAAGAGAAATAAAACAATGGTCGCTTTTCATAAGTTCTTATGCTCAACTTTGTATTAATTTTTTGAAATGCCTATATACACTATTTCTTATCTGGCAATTAGTTCACTTCTTTCAGGACTTGGTATTCTCTCTACCTCCTCCTAACATGAACGCTCAAATATTTTTGCCACTGTGCCTTTAATAGCCACTTGGCTACAACCTGGAAGGGTAACAAATATGACTTTTCTATCATTCAAATAAATAAAAACAATGAAATTATATTCAGAGCCAATAAACATGAAGATACTTACACGTGACAAAATACTTTCAAATGATTCTGTCAGAGATCTTTTTGCTTTATTCTTTAACATATCTAATCTGAATCTTGGAGCACTGCTGGGCACCTCATTTACAGCATTCTCAGCAAGGGGTTGTGGAGTCTGCAAGTGTTTAAAAACATAAATGTGAAATACTCAACAGCATGGAGCAGAATCTCAGTGAACAGTCTGAAGACTTCTGTAACCTGAATCAATACTTTCTCCTGGTGTCCTTGGCTTTTCATGCCTTTTTCTCTACTGATACTTATACTGAAGTTTAACAAACTATCTTCACACAAGATCAGAAAATCTCTTAAAGGAAATGTATTGAGTATCATGCTTCAGAAGAATTGCCATTTTTATAGGGATTTATGGCTGTGTTGACAAATTTTCTTTAATGCCAAAGTACAATTTTACAAATTCTAAATGTTTAAGTGTAACAGATTACAGATTTCTGATGGTTTTACTTTTCTTCAGCCAAGAAATTAATCAAAGTCGATGAAGCAATTAATAAGAACTCTCAAGCCTCTCCATTATATTAAAATGGGTCTTTCTAAGGGCCAGGAAGACAAGTAACAATCTAACTTTTCTATATATTTCACCAGTAGAAACACTTCCACCTTAAACCTAACAGTCTATTGAGAGTTTTGCTTGTTAAATAAATATTTCAGTCCATTTTTAGTGCTTCTGAAGACTAGTGTAGCAAGTACAAAAACGACACTATGATGTAAATATTACCATCCAAACCTAACACCTGCAGTAGAAACCAGAGCAATTTTCATTGTTATTTTTGGGGGTTCATCTTGAGGCTGCCAGATGCTGTAGCCCTGCCTACCTGGCCCTAATTTCAGAGATCTGAATGCTTGACCTATGTAATATGTGGGCAGCTGAATAGCAGATCCTCACCATCACCAAGCAGTCCTGTCTAGATATAATTTCAAAGCATCCTACTTCCAGTACAACAAAATTACAGGCTTCTGTAATTTCTTTTTAACTTCACTCATCTTAGCCTCAAAGGGAAATCAGATGCTGCCTGCTATTATGTTCTTATAAAGAGACACTTATTTTGAAGGTCATTTTTGTTAAATAAGATCCATGTACTAGTATCACATTTCATTTTCTTCCTCACCTGATTTAAATATTTAAAAAAAAAATGTGATGAAAAGCACGCAAGTGAATACCTATGCAGAAAAGAAGGGAACAGCAACATCAGGATGTCATGGGTTAATGATTGCTGAGACAGATAACACTGCCAGAGTACATGTTCAAAGGTATCTGCTATTACACGGCTCTGGAGATAAATTATCAGAGTAAACATAAAATGCTAAGATGAATGATGGACTGAGGGCAAGTCAACTATGTTCGTAGAGCATTGGCCTTTACAAGTGTCAGATTAACCAATTCTGGTTCCAGGAACTGAGCAAACAGACTGCAGCAAGCCTTAGGAATTTTCAAATCACACTGAAGGCATCTTAAGATATTATCTTGCTTTGTATATCCCTATTTCCAAGCCATTCATGACTGACAACTATTTGATAATCAGCTCGCATTAGACCAAATAAAAATATTTCAGGTATGATGATAGAGGACCTCAGGCAATGTTTCTTCCTGTCATGCCATAAGTACAATTTTTTTTTTTCTTAAAAACATACTTCTGGTGAGATGCCCAAGACAAGAAAGCAGAGAATGAAATATGCAAAGTTTTCTTCCTGCCTTCTCAGGGAGGTCAATAATTAGCCAATAAGCCATAAAAGGAGATTAACAAAGTGAACAAATAGTAAATGAAGACTTGCTGCTATTTCCCCAGTTTCTTCAGGGGTATATTTACTCTCCATATATTCATTTGCTAGTTCATATCACAAATGGCCAACAGCAGTCATCACAATTACTGGCTAGCAGTGGTGGGACAGCCAAGATTTTTAAAAGGGTCAAATAATTGGAACTGAAAGTTTGCAGAGAACTGGTGCTGATCCTCTTTTAAATACAAACCTCCTCGAGGTGTCTCAAGTTAGTTAGTAACAAACTAAGGCATCCAAAATCATTAATCCCTTTTGAAATATCTTAACTGTGCTGTATAAATATCCAGTTAAACAGCATTGATGCAATCTGGTACAGAAAGAAAGGTAGCTCAGCTCTTTGGAAATGGATGGCAGCCTCTGCTGCTGTTTCTGCAGCAATCCTCCTCAGCTACTCCTCCTTGAGGCCACTTCAAATGGTTGTTTGCACACAAGAAATAACTTCCAGCTATCAAGTAAATGTAATAGTCTTTATCAAGGATCAAATCCATTGTGTTGTCAGGACTCTGACTCAAAACAGACAGACAGCGTGATGGCAAATGCCACAGATTGGCTGAGAGCCAAACATTCATTATATATTCTCTCACATAGAATCACAGAATCATAGAATCATTTAGGTTGGAAAAGACCTTTAAGATCATCCAGTCCAACCATTAACTTACACTACCAAGTCTACTCCAAGCCAATCAAGGGTAGACTAGACTAAACCATGTCCCGAAGTGCCACATCTACCCGCTTTTTGAACGCTTCCAGGGATGGTGACTCCACCACCTCTCTGGGCAGCCTGTTCCAATGCTTGACCACCCTTTCCGTAAAGAAATTTTTCCTAATTTCCAACCTAAACCTCCCCTGGCACATTCCATTTTCATTGTAGTGAGAAGAAAAAAAAAACCCAACAAAATTAGTGGTCTACCTTGTTTGCACCTCTGTCTCCTAGGCCTGAAATCAGACTGTACCACCAAATCCAAGATATACCTTTGGCACATGACAATAGTCTATGAATCATAAGCAAAACCAGTGTTCACCACTGCCTACAGTCTGAAGTTCCAAAATGCCAGTGATGAAAATTTGCCTTTGGAAAGATATAAAAATGGAATGGAAGCATTTTTCCTGGCTTCTCCTTACGTGAACTAAAACTGAATGATTACTTACCTGTTTTGCTTCTCCAACATGAACATGGTCCTTCTGTTTTTCTTCATACATGTTTCTCAAAAGAGAGATAACCAACTCATTCTCTTTTTGATCATTTCTTGGTCTTAATTTCTTTAATTGAAAACACCACAAGCACAGTAATTATACATTTGTATAACAGTTGGCAAATATTTACTCTCTTCATTTTTGTTACTGTCAATACGTCGTTAGTGTAAGAACAAGTTTAACTTGGTTAATGCTACCACTCTAGTCCACCAGAGGACACCAGTGTCCCACCAAAGCAGCAACACAGCCAGAGAAACACTTGACCTCACTTCATACATGACAGAATTCACATGAAAGACAAAGGACAACTGCAGAGGTATCAAATTGGCACAAGCAAATAAAGACTTTAAAAAATATTTTTGCCAATTTGCTTTTGATGTAAAGAAAACCAAAACACTGTAGTTCTGAGTTTGTAGCACACATGAAGTACTGTCCTGCAGTTATGATGCACAACCCTTCTCCTAGAAATCCTTCTCATTGGACATTTCATTTCTGGGAAATAACATAGGTATTTTAAAAATTAGGCCACAAGGTGAACATATTTGTTTCTGCTCCATTCTATTTAGATATGAATTATTGTAAGAGAAAATGTTTTTAAAACAATTTTTTATAGAATTTGATTCCAGAAACCTAGCTTTTGAAAAGCACCTGCTGTTTTAAGCCTATTGATGTAATGCAGAGGATACAGTATGAATTAGCTAATGCCAGGGTGGCACAACAGATTAATAAAAATATCCTTAGAAAGGCAGTTATCTAAAAACGCAAATCATGGTTACAACTTACGGAGCTGTAAGAATGTGACAACTAAAATTTCAGGCAGTCCAACTCAAAAAATCACCAGAATAAGACAGGCAGGAGAGTCATGCTTTACCCTTGGTTTTACCAAGTTAATCGTTTGCAGACTCTCACCAGAAGCAATTAACAGTTTCCTGCGACTACTAGAAGTCTTAGACCGTTAAAATGTGTGCAGAACGCTAAAAGGCAACAGTGCCAGCTAGCTGCTGAATACTAAGAAATTACTTAGCTCATGGAATCGCTCCCACAGAGTAACTTCCAAATTTGGTATTGGCTGATAAACTGCCACATGGAAACACACAAAGAAACTGAAATGACTCAAGAGAGGAAGGAAACATTATTTTTAAAGTCGTCTAAAATTTCCTAATCTTCAATAGCATGCCAAGCCCAATGACATTTCCTACATTGTTCCATCATCTGTCTTAAATCCAGATATGCTTTTCTCTGTGCTAAAGTGGATTTCATTCAGAAGATAGAAAGTTAAACTTTTTTAGTTAGTTTGACAAGTATTAAGATCTAGGATAAATTTTAGGCAGGAAATTTTATGATCTGGGAATGTAACAGTAATTCGTTTTGGTCAAAGTAACAGTTGAATGGTCTCACAGTACAAGTTACTGCCTTCACTCACAAAAGAATGTGTGCAATTTTACTCAGTGAGAAGTCAACATTTTCATGGAAAACAAGTAGTATTAGGGGAAGAAAAATGAGTAAAATAAGCCATTTTCATCAAAAGACAAGTTTTTAACAGCTCTAGAAAAATAGTGATATTGAAATTAAAGCACAAAGTGATTAACAGTCTATTAAATAAAGACAATGAATAATTAAAAAAAAAAAGAAAATAACGTTGGTGCTTCACACTGATGTTAGCAAAAAACATCAATTGCTTTAAAATCTTGTAGGAAACAAAGAGCTTACCTTAACCTCTTCAAAAACAGAGGCCTGCTCCTGGTTATTTAGCGTTGTTAGATGCTTTTGTAGTTCTAGTTTAGTCTTAGAAGGGTGTAACCCTACCAAGAGGAACAAAAACGAACAAACCACAGGGTCAAATTTATCAGAATTAATCAATCACATAAATATCCACACAATTTAAGCCAAAGCTTGTTAGTTATTTGAGCTGACCCGTTGCATTGATTTTATAACAGGGCACCAGAAAGAACTCTAGGTTAATTTAAAGCTACTACTGAACTCCTGTCTTTAAAATGAGGGACACGAACTCTGCAACGAGGAGATTTACTGAGCACAGACCAGGATTATACTCTTAGCTGAAGATTCCATTATCACACAAGAGAAAATAAACCCCCAATCTACTGCATTTTAACAGACTGCTTTGTTGGTGTTTTATGCAGTACTGCTTGGCTTTTGGTTCTGGTGTAATTTCTATGACTTTCTCCAATTTGTATGCCTTGGCCTCTTCTGGAAAAGAGTAAATTTATTGTATGTTAGTGAAGTTGTTGTTTTGCCTCTTGCTGAAAACATTTACTGACAGTCTAAGCAGACTACCCTCTCATTCAGATTATTTTTTTCTGCTCTCATCCTGGATTAAATTCCTTTCCTCTATTTTCTCTGGAAAAACAGCAAACCATCAACAGTATTTTGTACTTCAGTTTCCGACCATTTCTCCTTCAGAAGCAGATGATATGATTAACCAGATGGCATGATTAAAGGCATTAAGAATCATTTGCCTTTAAGAAATTTCTCAAAAAGCATAGCTAGCTGAAGACCAAAATAGAGTGAAAAGTAGTTTTGGAAGTTCTCCAGTTTCATCAAATTAATACTAGATAGCTTTTAGTCCAACAAGCTACAGTCATGTGATCTGACAAGCTGCTGTTGCCCTTTATTCACCCCAGACATCGCTTAAATGAATAAAACCTAACTGAAATTCGCTGAAATGCAAAGTTGTTTTCTTTGTCTTTAACTTGTTTTCTGGGCAACAACTACAATTCTAACTGCTGCATTTTCATGAAGGAGCACAGATCAACACCACAAACATGCATATTAAAAGATCACTGTTTGGTTCATGTTTAGTAGTAGTGTAATGCCAGTATCTAAGTGGATTCAATAGGACAGCAGGTCATAGTTATTGCAGTATATATTCTTGAGAAGTTCCTTAACTACAGTCCTCTGTGTTTATAGGGCTAAGAGCCAAGCTAGCTGCAATTCAGTAATATTTAGTCTTAATTAATTTTCAAAAATTCAACTAAAATACAAGAAAGGAGGTTAACTTTATTATTAGAAATTGTTTAGTCCTCTAAATAAAAAGACTGGCTTTCAACCCTCCATCCCAAGTCCCAACTCTTTTTAAGCATTCATTCCCTGAGAGTTTCACATATAAGATTGTCCCCCAGTAAAATCGTTAGAAAAATATTCGACCAGAAAGTTCTTTAAACCTCACCTTCTATCTTTTCACAGAGTTTATGCAAGCTTTGCATAGGACATCCTTCACAGAGCTGGGGCTGTGCCTTGGAAGTTTGTTGCACAGCAGCTACGGTGAAAGCCTGTTTCAATGTCATCATGATTTCATCAACCTGAAAAGAACAGAGTGCAAAAGAACAGAATTTCCCTCCTCCACTGAGCTTCTGTTTTCCTTAACACAAACACAACAGTCTTTTAGAATGATACTGCCGCTTGTTTGGGAATGTGCTTATGATTAAAAAGAAAAGCTGTTCCCATGCCTTTTCTGCACACAAATACACAAGACAAAACTCATAATGAAGTCATATCTCTTCCAGGCCACCCAGTTTTATTACTGTAGTCTAATAAAAGATACTACCTCTTTCTAGAAATCTTTTCGTGTTTGTGTGTCTGCAGTCGTGACGCACTAGCCTGACCTAGAGCACAGTAGTGTAGTCCTGATTTTCTTAACAGGTACACTATGAAAAAACCATCTTCCAAAAAAAGAGGCATACAGCCTAGCTTAGTTTGTACAATGAAGGGAAGTTTTATTAGATTTTAAAGGGGATTTTAACTTCTGCTTTTGAAACAAATTAAAAGTTCCTTTGCAGACTGCTATGTTAGTTACATTTTTGAAATAATTATATTTCTGAGTGGAGCAGGATTTGAAGACATTCAGTAAAATACAGAGCATGGAGCAATAGAAGACTTTTAGGGCCTAATACTCTATTAGGCTCTTTTCTTTCACTTACCAGTGCTTCATCTGTACACTGAAACACATAGCAAACAAAGTGGAAGCCTCCATTTTCTGAAGACTCTCTGCAGATGAACCCAAAGTGATCCACATGTCTAATTCCCTAGCACAAAAACAACAGTAATGAAGCAGTCATATTTACTTTCAATGTTTTGCACCTGTATTTTTTCCAGTAACAAAAGCATAAAAGGCCCAACAGCATTACAGATAGGTCACATATCTCTGTTCAGCTACATTAAAGTCATCTGGCCTTTAAACATCTATTCTGTTATAGAACCTATTACTTCATGAATCTTTCAAATTTCACTTAAGTCAGGGGTTGCTTGTTGGTTTTGTTTGGTTGGTTTTTAATGACTGAATTATAATAGATCCATTGGAAAACACAAGGATGAAGAAATACTATTCAAGATGTATTTTACTCAATATTGGAAACAGCAGGGGAAAAAGCACTCTCTGTTCTCTTTTCTTTAAGTGGTTAACAATTGCTTTACATTTGTAAGAGCAAATCAAAGCAACAGTGAAAAATGGATAAACAATTTTTTTTTAATCTAAATAAAAGCTTGGCTAGTTAAAAAATGAAAATGATTAAATATATTACTTAAAGATCACTCATGGAAGCATTTATTTCTCCTAAAAAGCATGCAAATTCAGGCACAATCTACTTTGCAACAGTAGATAAACAGTACATCCTGGTAAAATGCTAAGAAGGTCTTTTAATTACTGGGAACTTTTTTCTTTTATGAAAAGACTTCCAGATGAGTAGAGTTAGGTGATCCCAGTGCATGTCTCTTCAGTGCACCATTCTTGGTAAAAAAAACCCCCAAACTTATGAAGATGAATTACATGCACAGTGGTAGAGCCTGTTTATAGAAATTCAATTACAATCAGCACTATTTTACTACCTTCTAGCTGTCATGGCACAACAATATTAAAGTCGGGTAAAGAGAGGCAATAAACTGTTGTATCAAAAATCATAATGATGAATCACAGTAAACCAGAAATTTCAGTGAAATTTAAACAATCTGAAGATGCCAAGCAGGACCTTTTTGTTGGGTTTTTTTGCTTTTCATTATTAACACGGCAAGAATCACTGAATATTCTCTTTGTCTTTTTATCATGAAGAAAACATTAAAAAAAAGGCATTTAAAAAGCAGAAAAAGTGAATACCTCTATAAAACAGAATGGCCAGGTGTCCCAAAAAAGAACATGTTATAGCATCAGATATCCTTAAGCAATTCGAACAATGTTCTCTTATCGTTCGAAATACTAACAATAAACCTTCAGAGCATGCCAGCTGAATGAAGGAAAATAATTTAATGTGTATGGAGATCCCTGGTTTGTTGGAGTGTGATAGTTACACAGAGATAACAAAGGCTTTATTATACAAAATCAGGCACTAATAAGCCATGAGAACAAAAAGATCAGAAGGACATTCAAATGATGTAAAGCCTGCAGCTTCTCCAACTCCAGTTCCACTGGATGTCCAGGCTAAGCATTTTAGGAGGCAGCTATGTGATAAAGCAAGAACAGGCTGATGCAGCCTGCAGACTCTCTCCCTCCATCATCCACATCAGAGATGTGTACAGACCGTGCTGAGCCCCCTCTCTCCACCCCCCAGCCCATGTTTCTTCTTCTGAAAGCCCATTTCTTCTCCTGAAAACCCAACTGCCACAGTGGAGGGAGCCCAGCTGGGATCATGGCCCTGCCCACAAAACTGCAAGGTAGCAGGAACTGTCAAATCATAGAATCATGGAATGCTTTGGGTTGGAAGGGACCTTTAGAGGTCACCTAGCCCAACCCCCCTGCAGTGAGCAGGGACAGCTTTAACCAGATCAGGTTGCTCTGAGCCCCAGCCAACCTGACCTGGAATGTTGCCAGGAATGGGGCCTCCACTGCCTCTCTGGGCAACCTGTGCCAGTGCTTCACCACCCTCATTGTAAACAATTTCTCCCTTATATCCTGTATATATTCCTTATATAAATGCTCTTAGCTGTTTCAGATTAGCTAATTCAGATACTGCCCCAGGACCACACACTTCTTTCTGCCATTAAAATATCTCACTGACCAATTGAGCATTCTGGAAATTAAGTACTGATTCTGACCTCCCTTATAATTTAACTCCAGTGCCTTCAAGAAAAGATTATTAAGGTTCTTGTATGATCAAGATGAGTCCATAAGATCATTCTGTCAAGTCTTCTGACATGTGCATACTTGGGGGAAAAGCTCTCTGTACCCCAATACCAATATTTGCCCAACTGACATAACATCTGCCCAGTAGCACATTCTTCAGACAGGAGGGGAGAATTCAATCAGAATCTCACTCCTACTGCTCTGAGGAGCACAGCTGTCTGCTGACCTTCAGGACAAGTCACAAAGTCTACCTAATTAGCTCCTGCCTAAGGAGACAGCCTAAGGGAACATGGGGATAAAGATTTTTCTGTGATCAAGGAGTTCTCTTCAAAGCTCTTGATCTGACAGCATGGAAACTACTTATGTTTACTCTGAAATTTTCAGAATAGGTACCTGTATGTTTAGGGATGAAAGCTATCCTCATCAAGTTAAAAAAATAGTCATTTATGGGAAAAAAAAACCAAACCCAAAACCCACACACCCAATCCAAAAAAGCTAGAAGCAAATAACAGCAAATCATATTCCTTATATTTAAAAATGGGTAAAGAAACGTATGGGA